TTCTTTCTTTCTTTCTTTCTTTCTTTCTTTCTTTCTTTCTTTCTTTCCTTCCTTCCTTCCTTCCTTCCTTCCTTCCTCCTTTCCTCCCTCCCTTCCTTCGCTCCCCCCCCCCGCTCTCTCTCTTTCTGCTTCTTAATTATTATTATTTACTCCTGGTTTTGCCTTGAGTTACTTTTCAATTTTCCATTATTGCTACCTTTTAAAGGGTTTGTTTTGCTTGATTTTGCTTGGTTTTACAAAAACAATAAAATTGGGGGGAACAGGGATTTAAAACTTTGCTGAACAGGAAACTGACAGCTATGTGCTGTGACAGAAAATACCTTCTAAAAAGGTCATATCCCAGTGCTGAGCTAGACACATGATCTTAGCCAGTGAGATTCCAATTGTCTTCTTTATCACATCACTTGCACAGAGAAATATGCAATCCATATTTTCCTGGTCCAATTGACAAGGAAATCCCTTAATTCTGAGAACTGTTACCTGAAAAATAGCATTAATGCATCAGTGTACTAACCTATTTATGGATTTGCATTGCCCTTGCCTCTTTTTCTGAGTTGCTCCAAGGGACTGAGGTAGTCGTGAGGTAGTAGTACTTGGTTGGATTTTAATGTAAGAAGGAATTTTAGTAAAGGAATAACTTTCCTGGGTGGGTGGGTGGGTGGGTGGGTGTGGGGGGGGAAGGCAAGACAACAAATGCAAAGAATAAGAAAAGCATGATCATTAACTAGAAAATAGAAAAATAGTAAAACTAAATATCTGACACAGATTTTTTTTCTTTTGTTTAATCTTGCCTGGTGCTCAGAGACTATCTGGACAAGTCCCTGCAGCTTTCTTGGCAATGGTTTGCAGAAGTGGTTTGCCATTGCCTCCTTCCTAGGGCTGGGATACACTGGCTGGCCCAAGGACATCCATCTGATTGCATGCCTAAGGCAGGTCTAGAACTTACAATCTCCTGACTTCTAAGCCTGATGCATTAACCAATGTAGTCCCCTCTGACAGAGAGATTTATTTGACCATATTTCCACATTTTTATGTAAAATAAAATCAATACAGTTTTTGCCACAGATTTACCCTTTTCATCCACTTGGCTCCATCCATTTTGGAGGGGGGTGCTAAAATGATCAAGACAATTTAATTTGGAATATCTATGCAGATGAAGAGGCTGTAAGAAGTGTGCCTTACCCGATAGCCAACATCTTCAGTCACCTTGGATGTGTCTACAGTACATCCTGCCTGCCAGAGAGTCTCCTTTATGCTGCATCCATACAGAAAGATGTTCTTTCTCTGAGAATGACCATGGTAGTCACAAAACACCTGGGGGTGGGGAAAAAGAAGAAGGAATCAACTAAGCGTTAAACTCTCATAGGACTGGGTTGAGGAGTTGGTAAGAAAATGCTGTCCCAGAGTCAAAAGAAGTTAATGTTTTGAGATATCCGAGCATCAGCTCTAGGCAAATACATATTGAATCAAAGAGAATCAATATTGAGGGTATTGGCAAAGTATCATGAATGACTTCAAAAGAGATTTAAGATTTATGCAAAATAGTTTATTCCTAATAAGAGTTAGGGATGGCACTTCACTTCCTTGAACTATACTTATCAAGTTTTTATAGATTATTATCTCGCTTCCATATCCTCTCATGTGAAGAATAAAGCCATTGAGCACAGTCGTCTGGATAGGAGCAGGAGCCATCAAGAGGTGCGGTGGTTAGGGTCTACATTAAGATCAGGAAAACCCATTTTCATCAGCATTCAGATGTAGAAGACAATAGGTGGTTTTGATTTTCAGTCTAGCCTATATCAAGGGCAGTGTGACGGCTCAGTGATTAAGACACTGGGCTTGTTGCTTAGAAAACCAACAGCTTGGATTTGAGACCTGAGTGCCATTGCAATGGGGTGAGCTCTCATCTTTGCCTAACTCTTGCCCCCCTAGCAGTTCAAAAGCAGGCAAATGTGAGTAGATAAATAGGTAGCATTTCAATGGGGAAGAAACAATGCTCCGCAACATCATGCTGGCCACATGTCTAGAATATAACTTTATTACGGTCTTAGACCAGCAATAGACATCACTATTTACAATATATATATAAAAAAATATTGATACATTATAATACATTAATAGTGGATAAAAACATCTATTAAGAAAATACATGTTCTCAAACAGTTAGGGGCACTCCCTGGTTTATATGATGGAGAGCCAATACGTATGTGTGTAAATATCATTTTCCAAAGTTTGTTCTATCTCCAAAAATTGTCACAAATTGACAGGTATAATTCCGTAACCAATTTTTTTCTAGTAGACATTGCAGCAACACAGAATTTTGCCACTGCACGCGTAATAGCTGGATGTGAATCCTGGAGGAGAAAGTCTATATAAAAATTGTCTGCTCTCCCTGGCAATCTCTCTAGTAAGGGAAGAAAAGCCACATGTCTTCAGAATTGTCATGCTGGGTGAATGGCCTTGAAATAGAAATGAGCCCTATTGTCTATATGTCAGTAATGACTAGCAGAGTAAAACCCACAGGGACCCCTTTCCTTTTTCCTACATAGCAATAGCACTTAGACTTATATACCGCTTCACAGTGCTTTACAGCCCTCTCTAAGCAGTTTACAGAGTCAGCATATTGCCCCCAACAATTTTACCCACCTCGGAAGGATGGAAAACTGATCCTGGTGAGATTTGAACTGCTAAATTGCAGGCAGCCGGCAGTCAACAGTCACCACTGTGGCTCATGGATATTTGGAGAAATTATTAGAGAAAGGGAATATACTACACACCCCTTGAGTTTTATAAGCAAAGCTTGGGTATACACCTAACCGAAGAAGTAATATGAGTTCTAACAATGACATCATATGTTCCCATAGCTGCTCATTACACAATACAATATAAGCATTTTGTTTACAAATGATACTCTACTAGGTAAGGCAACTTACAAGTTATTAGATACAGTTTGGGGGTGCACTGCTCTGCTTTATTCATAGATCCAGGAAAAAACAACAACAGATTTACCCTGATAACAGTGGGCTTACCTTAACTGCAGATCCATATTAATTTTATGCACTCAAGCATCCCACTCTCATATTCATTTACCATTCACAGAATCCCTAGGAAAATGAAGTCCTTCTTAACCCAGTTTAAAAGTACCCATCTATGTTTTAAAGACCAATTCTGGGATAGCATACTGAGCAATAATAGGTGATTTTTTTTTTGCTTCTAAACATTCCTTGTTATCCATCTTGTAAGAATCCAAACCTGTGGTTTGCAAAGCAATTAAATACCTCTTGCGTTTCTTTACAGTCATAGCATACAACATACCAATTTGAAGCATTGCTTAAGCAAGCAATTATGCAAAAACATTCTTGTACACTGTTATTTCATTTTGTAAAAATCTCAGTGGCAGAAAAAAAGAGAACATGACTTACCTTCCCAGTTTAACTGTTGTGTTTCTCCCCTAATCTAATCCATCTGCCTAGCCTCTGTTATTACAGGGGTAGGCGATGGTCACATCTTTTGCTATACCAAATTTAGATTGCCTTTATAAGCAGTTATTGACTCTCATCACAGTAAAAACTGGGGTTTATTCATACAGGGGGCTAATATTGACCTTGGCTTTTGAAGAACAATCCATTGTCCAGTTTTGCTATGATAGGAAGTCAATACCCATAACTTCCAATCGCTGCCCTCCAGGATTTGTAATCTTTGATACAAATACAGATTGGGTGTCTTTAAACCTCCAGAATGAAAGGGAAATACTATGTAAAGAAATCAGAAGTGTAATTAACCTCTATTTCCCCATCACTGTTTTATTTGATCCCAGAACTTGCTTGCTAAGATTTCCAGCTAGCAAAGGGAGATAAAATAATACATTCTTTGGAAATCTATCTGACTGTACAGCTTCAAATGATACCTAAAATAAAATGCAACTATCCTCAAAATAATAATTCTCCAAATTTAATAATATTAATATATTGGCAAAGTATAACATGGATAGTACGTTAAAAAGACAGCAGGGAAAGCAGATAACAAGAACTTGTGATGGCTAAGAGCAGGAAATTTGAAGAAAAAGTCTGAGGGTCTAATTCTGGTTGCACAAGACAAGACCGAGCCTTAAGAACAAATGAATACAAAGCCAGAAGTGAGAAATAGCAACAGACAGCAAATGCTGCCTGTGCAAAGAAGCTGAAGATATGGCGAGTTACCTAGTTAGCTGCTGCAACATCTCACAGACTGACTACAAACAGTGGTATGACAAAGTGGCAACAATGGTGCATTGGAAGATGTGCAAGAAATACCATTTGCCTACAAGCAAGAAACAGGCAGACCACAAATTAAATAAAATATTAGAAAAGGAAGAAGCTAAAATTATATGCCACATAATACCACAGACTTAAAAACTGTTGATTAAAAAAGACAAAAAGTCTGGATAATGGACATTGCAGCACTTGGAGAAAGCAGAATAGATGAGAAGAACTAAAAGACATCACAAAATACAAAGACCTGCAATGGAAGTCATATGACTGTGGCAAAAGAAAACAAAGTTAGTACCAATAGTAACAGGCGACTTGGGTGCAATCCCAAAACATCTGGAGCAAAATTTGCACACCATCGGCATTGACAAAAATAACCACCTGTCAATTGCAAAAGGCAGTTTTACTTGCAACAGCTAACATCTTGTGACAATGCACTTAATACCATCAAACAATATCTTTCTGTCCCAAGCCCTTGGAAACAACTCAATAGATGGATAAAAATGCCAAAGCCAGTATAAACATCAGGTTGATCATGCAATGAACCATAACAATAATAATACTGGAATTCAATGTAGAGAAAAGTAAAGTCCTACACTTAGGCAAGAAAAAATAAAAGTACACATATAGACTGGGTGAAACCAGGCTCAATAGCAGTAACTGTGAGAGGGATCTTGGAGTCTTAGTAGACAACCAGCTAAATATGAGCCAGCAGTGTCCAGCAGCAGCCAAAAAAGCTAATGCAATCCTAAATTGTATTAACAGAGGGATACAATAAAGATCAAGGGAAGTACTAATACCACATTATAAAGCCTTAGTAAGACCTTACCTAGAGTACTGCATCCAGTTTTGTTCACCACATTTTTAAAAAGATGTTGAGACTCTAGAAAAAGTATAGAGAAGAGCAACCAGCATGATTAGGGGACTGGAGGCTAAAACATACAACGAACAGTTGCAGGAACTGGGCTTGGCTAGTCTAGTAAAGAGAAGGATCAAGGAAGACATGATAGCGGTCTTCCAATATTTGAGGGGCTGCCACAGGGAGGAGGAAGGGGTCAATCTATTTTCTAAAGCGCCTGTAGGCCAGACAAGGAATAATGGATGGAAACTGAACAAAGAGAGATTTAACCTGGAAATAAGGAGAAACTTTCTGACAGTGAGAACAATCAACCAATGGAACAGCTTGCCCTCGGAAGTTGTGGGAGCGCCATCAGTTGAGACTTTCAAGAAGAGATTGGACTGCCATTTGTCAGAAATGGTGTAGGGTCTCCCGCTTGGGTGGGGGGTTGGACTAGATGACCTACAAGGTCCCTTCCAACTCTGATTATCTGTTAATACTGAACAAAAATGTCCTGCCTGCCTGCCTACCTAAGGATCTGTATATGTGTATGCACACACACAAAGTTACACAAATGCCTAGTCCTCATTGAAAATATGCCTCCTATCTATCTATCACTATATATATAGTTCTTTATATTTGACAAAATTATTTGCAAAAAAACTGAATATTTTGCAAAAGTCCAGAGAAAAATGTTTATATTAGGGGAAATGAATATTTTTAAAAATGCAATATTCATTTTGTGCCTTAAAAAAATCACCAATTCATTAATCCTATATCTGCAAAAATAAAGAAAACTAAAACAGAGATATTGGGGCATCTCCCAGTACTAGCAGTATTTGACAGAATGATTAGTGCAGTAGAGAATAATTAACTATTTACTAAAACCACAGTGATGCACAAATCACTTCCCAAATATCCAATGTGACATGGTGTGTGATCTGCATCTAAATACTTTTTAATAGAAAAGTTGGGTTGATATTCTGTTTTTCCACCCAAACTGTGAAAGTGAGAGGTTGAATATCACATCTGATAACTTACACTGTAGTCGGACACATCAGCTTTAGACCAGAGGTGCTATTCTACCGGTTTGCACCTATTCGGGCGAACCGTAGTGGTTATTTGGCATGGGTCGCCGAACCGGTGGCAATCCCTGGCTGGCCACACCCCCAACCCGGTCGCCCGGTCGCTCACTTGCGATCTCTTTCCTAGCTTTCTGTTCCCCACGTCCTCTTTCTCCTCAGGGAAAAGGAAGAAAGGCATGGACACTGCAAGTATCACTTTCCCCATGTGAGTTAAAGGGCTGGAGTGAGAAGGAATGCGGTCTGACAGAGGGGGTGGGGGAATCCACTCAAGCCTTGGAGAAATTTAAAGGAGCTGCTTCCAAAATGCTTGTTTGTTCAGTGTGTGTGTGTGTGTGTGTGAGAGAGAGAGAGAGAGAGAGAGAGAGAGAGACAGAGACAGAGACAGAGACAGAGAGAGAAAGAGAGAGGGGGAGGGAGAGGGAGAGGGAGAGGGAGAGGGAGAGAGAGGGAAGGAAGGAAGGAAGGAAGGAAGGAAGGAAGGAAAGAAAGAAAGAAAGAAAGAAAGAAAGAAAGAAAGAAAGAAAGAAAGAAAGAAAGAAAGAAAGAAAGAAAGAAAGAAAGAAAGAAAGAGGAAGGTAGAGAAAGAAAGAAAAAAATAGGAAGAGAGATAAAACTCTGTGCTATTATTTTTAATTGTTCCATTATTTATCATGTGTTAATATTTTACACTGTCCCTACAGCTAGAGTGATTTTTCTGCCTTTCTTTTGCCCAGGGCTACCACATATTTTTCAGGGTTTACATGCATTCAATGTCAATAGTCCAGACCATAAAATACACATGTGTTTAACAAGAGTTGAAAGGGACCTTGGAGGTCTTCTAGTCCCACCCTCAGCTCAGGCAAGAAAACTGAGGATGCCAAACTCTGAGTAGAAATCCTGGGAAAGGTGTCAGAATAATACTTAGAAGGGACCTTGGGGTGAACCCTATACCATTTCAGAGAAATGGCTGTCCAGTCTTTTCTTAAAAACTTCCAGTGATTGAGCACCCAGAACTTCTGGAGACAGGCAGTTCCACTGGTTAATTGTTCTCACTGTCAGGAAGTTTCTCCTTAGTTTTAGGTTACTTCTCTCTGTTCAGTTTCCATCCATTGCTTCTTGTTTGCGTTCTGCTTCTTTGGAAAATACATTGTTCCCCCTTTCTTTGTGGCAGCCCCTTAAAAGCCTGTTGCCTATCACATTCTTGAGTAAAGCATGTGAGCCATTTCCTCCTTTCAGTGGTCCATGAAAAGTACATCTATAGTATAGTAAAGTCAAAAAAGGTGAACAACATTTTTACAGAACTATAGATAAGTTGAGGTTGGGTGACAAGGAATGGCTGGGAGGGGAGGGGCCAGGTGAGGCACCCCTTGATGTGAGTGACATTGAGTTGCCCATGCCCACCCAGTCACATGACCACCAAGCATGCCCACCCAGTCACATGACCACTAAGCCACACCTACCCAGTCACATGACCATAAGCCACGCCCACCAAATAAGCCACACCCACAGAACCGGTAGTTAAAACTTTTTAATTCCACCACTACTTTATACAGTAATCACATATAACATCACAGGGAGGGGGGGTGTAAAGATAACTGGGGTGTTGTAGCCTAAATAAAATTCTTTCCCCTGGGAACTAAGGACATTTGTGCAGGTGTTCAAAAGGTGGAGACTGAGGTCACCTAGCAACTGGGCTGTATGCTGATTGGACCATGTGACTGGAGACTCTGAGGGGAAGTGACAAAGTTTTACTTTTAATTGGGTGAAAAACCGGCGCTAACTTAGAGCTGGTTTTCTCCCAGGAATGTGCCAATTTGATATATCCCAATAAAATCTTCTTTCAGGAATTTGCCTCAGAGTTCTTATTGAATGGGATGTATTACTTGGAACCTTGACACATGTGTATTCACTTCCCAAATTTGAATAACTCAATGTCACTATTTGAAAAAGAGGGGGCACAATGTCTCAGCGGTTAAAAATGCTGGAGTGAGCAGTGGAGTGAGCTCCCCTTACTTGCCCAGCTCCTGCCCAACTAGCAGTTCAAAAGCATGCAAATGCAAGTAGATTAATAGATACCACTTCAGTGGGAAGGTCAGTGTGTTCTGTTTGGCATACAGCCATGCTGGCCACATGACCATGGGTATTTTCTTCAGATAGCGCTGGCTCCCTCAGCCAAGAAACAGAGATGAGCACTGTGCCCTAGAGTCAGACATGACTGACAGGAAAACTTTTACCTCAATATGACTGGCAGGCCATTCTCTTATGAGTGCCATGCATTCCAACTAAAACCTCAAGAATCCTCCAAATCAGTTTATAGCGTATCCAATTGTTAAGCATAGTCCAAATTGAGGCACAGCCTTAATAAACCTTTGCCTTGAACCGGGCACATTCTTTTCTATCTATTATACTACACAGTAAGCCTGTCTTTCATATGGATCCAATAATGATCGTAGTTTAAAAATTCATCTTATCTTCGGTGTTATGTTCATTTATTGATTAGATGGATCTAATAAACAGGCAACTGGTTTAGCAAAACTGACAACTTGACCACTTTTCAAGGAATTAAAGATTCAAACTTCAGCTAACAACACAATATTATGCTCCTATCACACTGGTAGATTTGCCCAATCTAGAGTCCAAACAAATCGAGGAATTTTGCCCACATTCTAACCTAAGCCATAGTTTGACTCAACCATAATTTTTTTTAAAAAAAGGGTCCAGTCTGTTTTTGGCTCCTCCTCCTCTGAATATTAAAAGGATTTCATAACTTAATTTCTGTACTTCACTGCAATATTTATATTGGTGAATTTTACTTGGAAAGTCTGCAGTGGGAAGCGGGGAGTGGAAGTGTTATTCTAAAGCAAGGAGAAAGCAGCGTGAGAGAAAGAGGTTGAACATGTATTAAATAAAATCAATGAACTCTTCAAAGACAAGGAAAATCCAGTTCTCCTATAGCTTGTCAAGTTCTGAAGACTGAGAAAAAGTGAAACAGAAGGATCAATAGGCAAGTCTAAAGCAAAATTTGCTGATAGGTAGCACTGGCCCCTGGGAAAAAATACACAAATCGCTAAGCCATTCTGGATTCTAGGTAGCAAAGACTTTATTTGGTGTGGATGTTTGTTGAGCATTTGCTACTTTTCAGTTCCACTGAATACAGCTTTCAAAATTCTGCTTATTCCTGGGCATTCTGGGCTAGCAGTTTATAGTATTTCACTCTGTAAATGGACCGTAATGTTCAGCAAACATTTTTTCTCTCTCTGGAAAATTATTATACTCTCCAAGAGGTAGGAATATTGTGTAACACCCTAATAAGCATCTCTTAAAAACAAAACCCAAATTGGTACAAGAACTCGATTGCAGTTATAAACTGAAATAAGCTATTTCCTCAGTGTTGTAATATGGCCCAGACATTTTTAAAAAAACTGTGGATACAAAGTACAAAAAAATCACAAAAGAGCACATTAAATATGTTACATTAGATAAATTGCTTGTACAGAAGTGAACATATTAAGAAAGAGAAAATAGGATTTATTTTACAGTAGGCTAGAATTATACTCATGGTTACTTATACTAACCACAGTTGCTTGAACAACTCTGAAACAAATCAAAGTTCGTCTTGCAGACAAAAAAAAAAAAAAAGGTTTGGTCAATTCCTGCCTTTTTTCCAGCTCTTTTATCTGCTATTTCTTGGTAGCTTGGCAGAAGTTTGGGGAAGAATAAGCAAAACGAAAAACAAACCAAGAATAAGCCAGGAAATTGCAAATACCATGCCCTAATTAGCATATAAGAAATAAGCCAGAGCTGCAGTTAGTTATTCCCAAAGCCATGGTTTCAAATGATTATTTACTGATTTAAAACAAAACATGGTTTATCCACTGGCAAGATTGCATATCACACTCAAACTAAAGCTAAACAAAACCCATAATGATATATAAAACTAAATGGGCATTCAGCACCTGTGGAGGAAAGCTCAGAAGAAGGAAAATAGAGGTGTCTTCAAGGAGACAAGAAAACCAAGGCAGCCCCAAACCCTGACTGAAACCCCACTTTTTTTACAGATATATGCAAGAGCGTGGAGCTTCCACTGCATGATCATGGCCTCCATCTTGACTGCCTCAAAGACAAAAAAAAAAAAAAAATGATAATGACTCACCACTGGAACTCGACCTTGGCTCTTGAGGTAATAAAGGAGACCTTTGCTGTGGTAAATGGTGGGGTGGTACACAGGGTCGGGTTTCAGCCATTGCCTGTTCAAATCATCACCACTCAAGGAACACCGTTGACTGGAGTCAAAAAAGAAGAAGAAAATCATAAATCATAATAGAAAATCCCTACTACAAAAAGCCTCAGAGCCAAATCATTTCTGGATTCTTCTCCTTCTATTCCCTATTCTTTGATGCCTCCATTTTAGAAAGCTGTAGTAGAAGTCAAATCTCTAGAGCTGTTGATTTGAGAAAATGCATTCCTCGCTGTATTCATTATCACTCTCTGTCTGCGAACCCCTGTGCAGATGGATTAAACAAAATTAGGAGCAATTTTATTTTACAATGAGAGATAAATAGGGAGCTGTTTTACTTAAAAGCGATTAATAGTAGGACCTGAGAGAAAGTACACAATGCATGCTGCTTTAAATAACTCATTGACGTTAATATAACTGGAGTGCAGCAATCAGCAATATATGTCCCCTGAAACAATGTGGACTCAAGCAAGACAAAACAAAGCAAAAATAAAAAAAATAGCATCAAATCTCAAGCCATATATTAATAGATAATAAAATTGTATTGTTATGTAACATTTGCTTATTAGTTTCAGATAATTAGAATGAGATGGAAAATGAAAGACTAGATTTCTTTTATAGAGGCTGAGGGTTATATAAATCACCGAAGGCTGGAGAAGGCCAAGAAAAGTTGAAAAACAGATATAAAATTGCAGAGGCCATGGCCACTGCTAGGAACCACGTATAATCAGCACATGTTTATTCTAGAAAGTGCTGGAAAATTTTCTACCTTTTTAAAAGCCTTGATCTCACCATAAGCACACCAGGCTTTTTAAATAAAATAAAATAAAGAAGATGTTTGGGCAATCTCACTCATTTTAGAAATTACAGGTAATCCTTGACTTGCAACAGTTCATTTAGTGAATGTTCAAAGTTACAACAGCACTGGAAAAAGTGATTTATGACCATTTTTCACACTTACAACCATTGCAGTATCCCTATGGTCACGTGATCAAAATTGAGATCATATTGATGACAGCTGCAGTGTCCTAGGCGTCTGTGAACACATTTTGCAATCTTCTGACAAGCAAGGTCAATGGGGAAGCCAGATTCACTTATCAACCACGTTACTAACTTAACAGCTGCAGTGATTCATTTAACAAGAAAGCTCACAAAATGGGGCAAAATTCACTTAACTCACTTAGCAACAGAAGTTCAATTGTGGTTGTAGCTCGAGGACTACCTGAACTTGGAGCCGAAGAAGTCATATTATAAGCCTCTGTTTAACCAGATTCTGTGATCAAACATGAGATAGATAAATATTTTACAAGCGATAGTAAAATTGGAGCTGTAATGCAAAATGAAGAAAACGTATAATAAATATTTTTTTTTTAAAAAAAGAAAGAAAGTTGGTTTCAATTGTGGTGGTAAATCAAGGAGTACTTGTAAATACAATCTCCATTCCCTCCCACTCACCCACCTACCAAATCGTAAATACAGTTGGGCAGTTTTTAGTTTTAAAATGATGGGATTATTTCCTGGGTTGCAAGGCTGTTCACTCCAGCCACAGTAGACTCTTGAAAAGAAGAGCGTTCCCATTAAGATCACTCTCCAAGTCTCTTTATTGGTCTGCTACAAAGCCATCATCAGTTCTACAATGCCAAAGGGATAAATGTTTAAAAAGAATATTTAGAGTTTGGAATTAGTTTGCTCGGGACAAAATGTCAAGTTCCCCTTGGAAGACAGAGCTTTATGAAGCCTCCCAAAGATGTGAAATGACATGGGGAGGACTAAATATCAGAATTCAAGAATGGTGGCCATTACCCAAACAGCATGTTTGGGAAGGCAGGGCCAATTCCAGAATGTCTTATTTCTTTTTACTCCTTTCCGCAGTATCTCTCCTCTGAGTTCCAGAGTTCTGGGAAATTCCCCCTCCATCGCTAATTTCATTTATCACTTTCTTACTCTCAGAATCTCCAGCTGCCAACAATATTGAATTGTACTGGATTAACAAAATAAAAACCCAACATCCAGACACAAAATAATACCTGTTGGGCTACTGCTGCCAAATGGGAGACTGTTGCAGAAATTAGCAATGCAAGCTGACGACTTTTTAGCTGAACCTTTCAGAATCGTGTGCATAAGTGCACAATCATGCCTACCATCCCTGTCCTATTGTCCCCAATTATTAGTTCCTATTTCTTGTATTTAAACTTATGTTTATTCTTGTTTCTGTTATATTGTAAGCTTTTGACAAATAAAGTAAATAAATAAATAAAATGAATAGAATCCTGCTCAGGGATTGTTATTCATCAGGATGGCCTAATTATTATCCCTGTAAAGAATAATACCCACTTCTTAACTGAGTAGCACTCTGCTTGGATAACAACAGTTTGGGACTCTGCTGTTGACATTCAAGACAGCAGGATGATAGCTCAGTAGGCAGGTTTTTTTTAACTGAGGATGAGAGTTTTGCAACCTGAAATACCAAACCAAACAACTTTCCTTCAAGATCATACTAGTCCCTTTTATGAATTAGAGTTAGAAAAGGTTAAAAATATATGTTTGAAGCTACCAATAAAACCAGGTTGACTGTGCTGGTTATTACCTATACAGCAGAGTGGCTGGATATATAAGGAATCACCTTATATAAAGTTTATCATCTTATATAAAAGTTCCAGATCCTATCCCTCTGGGAAGTGAAAGGGGTGGCGGCTAGAAGACAGATCTTTTCCGTAGAGGTAAGCCACTAATTATATGATTTGTTTGTGTTCAGCACACAGTTTTTGAGGTAGGAGCAAAACAGGTAGTGCTTGACTTACTGTACAACCCTTTGTTTAGAGGCCATTGGAAGCACAGATGACTTATGATCGTTTTTTCACTTACAACCGTTGCAGCATCCCAAAGGTCACATGATCAAAATTCGGGTGCAATTGGCTCATATTTATGACAGTCGCAGTGTCCCAGGGCCATGGCATCCCCTTTTGCAAACCTCCACCAAGCAAAATCAATGGGGAAGCCAGATTTATTTAACAAACACATGACTAACTTAGCAACTGCAGTGATTCACTTACCAACTATGGCAAAAAGATCATAAAATGGATCAAAACTCAGTTAACAATTGTCTTGCTTAGCAGGCAGGAATTTGGGGCTCAATTGTGGTCATAGGTTGAGGACTACCTGTATATGTCTATCTGTACACTATAGACAAGTTGGAAATCCAGATTTGGTCACCACATTATAAAAAATATATTGAGACTTTGGAAAGAGTGCAGAGAAGGGCAGAGAAGAGACAATTAAGGGCCTGGAGACTAAAAGATATGAAGAACGGTTGCAGGAATTGGGCATGTCTAGTTTAATGAAAATAAAGACTATGGGTGACATGATAACAGTGTTCCAATATTTGAGGGGCTGCCACAAAAAAGAGAGGGTCAACCTATTCTCCAAAGCAGCTAAAAGCAGGACAAGAAACAATGGTTGGAAATTAATCAATTGCCTTCAGAAGTTCTGGATGTTCCAACACTGGAAGAGACTGGACAGCTATTTGTCTGAAATAGTATAGGGTCTCCTGCTTGAGCAGGGGGTTGGACTAGAAGACCTCCAAGGTCCCTTCCAGCTTTATTCTTTATTAAAATATTGAAATGAAAACAGAATATGCACATTATTATTAATTGTGTAGTTGAAGGATCAACCATTTCATCAGAGGTGGCTTCCCTTATTCTATTCTTAGGATGTTTTTGAAGAGGCAGAATTCCTATTATCATTTGCAACTGGCTATTCTGATTATTAGCTCTCCAAGGTGATTTTACAAGCACATTGAGTCACAGGGTATGATAGTGACCTGTAGCTTAGATTGCTTTTATAAAATGAATTAAGCAAATGAATAGGGTATTTCCATTTCAAAGTTAAGTGCTCTGGAGTTTATTCAATTTATTTTTGTTTACTGGATTTTCAAGCCATCAGACTCTGGGCAGCTTATTAATGTTTTAAAAGAATACTTAATTTGGAAAGAAAAATGGACAAAACCACATCAATAATAGCCCCCAAACAATTCAGTGAGATTCCACTGATTTGATGGTAGAATAGAACTCATGAATAAAATTGGGACCCTTATCCAATAAAGTAGATGCTGGAATCACCCATGTTAGGGTTAAGGTTTATCCAGTGGCTCATGTTAATACAACACACTGAGTCATAAACTAGCCAACCACAATTTTTAGCCAAGATTCTGCAGACTTGACCTAGGTGGTTTGTTTAAAGTTCAGTACATCATCTGAAGTCAGAAAATTGAGGTGAGTAATTATACCAAGGTTACCGACCCAATTTTCTGAATTTGCATAATGTACTGGACTGTAAACAAACCACATATAATTCTTGCATGCAAACACAGCTCCAGGGTTTAGATCTCTGAGTACTTAGAAATGCTGTTATTTCATTTCTAGAGAGTGGACTGGCTGCATAGATGGCATGAAACTGAGCAAACCAAAGTAGTTGACCTCACATCAAAGACTAGAATATAAACCGTGATTTACAATCCATGTGGTATCCACATGTGATCAAAATTCAGATGCTTGGCCACTGACTTATATTTATAACGGTTGCAGTGGGCCAGAGTCCTGTGTTCGCCTTTTGGGACCTTCTGATAGGTAAAGTCAATGGGGAATCCAGATTCACTTAACAACATGTTACTAACTTTAACAACTGCAATGATTCACTTAACAACTGTGGCAAGAAAGGTTACAAAATGGGGCAAAACTCACTTAACAAATGTCTCGCTTAACAACAGAAATTTTGGGCTCAATTGTGGTTGTAACTCAAGGACTACCTGAACTTGGAGCCAAAGAAGTCATATTATAAGCCTCTGTTTAACCAGATTCTGTGATCAAATATGGGGTAGATAAATATTTTACAAGTGATAAGGACTTGTATTGATGGTTTTTTTCCCCCTGCTTTGAGGACAAATAAACTAATCGCCATTTAGTAACATCTGGGAACTGATTAACTGGTTGAACAGAACAATGAGGTAGATAGCTAATAAGTCAAACTGAGTTATGAAACTTTGGCTCA